GAATAAGTAATATGGTTCGAAACTGACACGAAGCTAGCACCTTTGCCATTCCATGCCTGATTCCACAGTAACATTGACATTGTCCTCATCCAATTCTCCTGCCCTGTTATTAGGTAGAGTGGAGATTGCTCTTCCAAAATCAAATTAATTTTTCATGAAATTATAGCGCTTGTTCGAGAAAAGCTGGGCTTTGCTACTCTTTTGCTGCTTTGGACAAACAGAAAAGATACCGCTCCACACGACTTCCTTCCTGAATCTTCACAGAGAACTCGAACGCTTTTTGAACACGGATTTTTCAGATCGATGGAAATTCTTTGTTGTTTCGATGAATTTGTGAGCAACAGATGTCAACAGGTGTCAGGCACTGCAACACCTTTCGTCAAGGTTGTTCACATCAGCGCTTTAATGGCTAATGAACTCGCTAGATTTGAACGAGAAGGGCATCAGTTTTTATGACGGGCTTTCCCTGAACACGTACGAAATGGTTTTCTTCACTGGTCACGTTACGTGTCGTGCAATCTAAGGCATGCTCGTTGAATTTAACGAGTCAAAAAAGTTAGGGCTGTGGATTGAGTATATTCAATGAGGAGCGCTTTTTACGGTGAAGGTAAAATTAAGATTGATGGAAAACCCATTAAGAGAACTGTTCCAAGTACATTTCTATTGATGGCAGGCATTCACGGAAACCGTTGTGTAGGCTATTGTAGGATTTCCGTTCTAGAGGGAGTCCCACGAATGACCAAAACATGAAGGATAAGCTGATAACGTGGGAGGGTGCTGCACGGCAACCTTCCTTCCGAAAACGTCGACCAGTGACAATCCGAATGGTAGCCCGGTATGTCGATAACTCCGCGCAAGACGGCTCAATTATGTCAAGACACTTTTAGTGGGCCCGCACTTGCGATTTTTCCAGAGGAAAGGGTCGTGCCTGTGGATGACTCCCTCCAGTGTGGTGGAGAGGTCAGATTGGTACCCCTCAATATATGGGAGACGATGTCGTCAGATCAGTAAAATTGGTCGAGCTCGATGACTTGTTTTGTTCTACAGTCCAGTCAGCCCTCTGCTACGTCTTTGAGGCATGGGTGGACATCCGTAGGTGCCAAGATCTTGATAACTGTGAAGAGCACTCGAGCGATACTTTCTGAGGTTTTACCTCGTCCTTCAAGAAACAAGTCGGACTCCGCAGCACTGACCTACACAGTCTCCCTTTTGCCTTGCCTAGTACATATCAAAGGCCGGGTTATGATGGACCAGTCATAACATAAGTAGGCGATGACAGGTGGCAAAAAG